TAGTAGCCACAGTCCGTCACGTATTTCTGATATGTATTGCTCTTGGTGGAATCGAATGTGCCAAATCACTTGAACACTTCCCTTGAAAGTATCTATAGAAGAGAGACAAATCTTCAACCTTTCTTCGATGTTCCAGACTATCAGCATCTTTGGCCGAAGTGTTATTACCTGTTACATTCCGTTGCACTGCTGCCACCCTAGCATCTTTTAGTATGGGATTCCAAATCCGGTTAAGCGTTATGGCCTCCTCTTTTCTGTTGTAGTTTTCTGTATGTTTATGGATTTCTATGGCTTCCCGTACAAGCTGACTGTGTTCAAGCCCACCAGGAAAATACAGCAAAGCCTGAGATCTGCGAAAGACAAAAGAGATTCACTCTCAGCTGCGTGGGTATACCGTATACCATGCACTTGCGGAAAAGTTTATATCGGTACCACCAAACGATCCATGGGTACAAGGCTGAATGAACATCGGAGAAATTGTAGATTTGGTCAAATAGAAAAATCGGCAGTAGCGGAACACTCGTTTAGTGAAGGAAATCATACAATACTATTTGAAGATGTGAAACTACTTGCACCCGATCATGTATACCACAGTCGGCTTGTACGGGAAGCCATAGAAATCCATGAACATACAGAAAACTACAACAGAAAAGAAGAAGCGATAACGATTGACCGGATTTGAAATCCCATACTAAAAGATGATAGGATGGCAGCAGTGCAACGGAATGTAACAGGTAATAACACTTCGGTCCAAGATGCTGAGGTGGCAGCAGTGCAACGCAATGTAACAGGTAATAACACTTCGGCCAAAGATGCTGAGGTGGCGGCAGTGCAACGCAATGTAACAGGTAATAACACTTCGGCCAATAACAACGAACCAATCAGAAAGGCGGGCTACCTGAATACAGCTTACGAACTAGAAATCACGAGTCATTGGTGAACCATCAGAATGAATAGACCTCTGAAGAAGCCAGCCACTCGTGCTGGCGAAACGTTAGGATACAGTTCCAAACCACGACGGCCTTCAAACCCGAACGAAGATCGTAACGCTGAAGTGTTTCAAGCTTTTGAGAAGCAGCCTTTGCAATTCCAGCGACAGCGAAAACCGATGCCTGGGTTCATGTGACATTGGATTGAACCTGATTAATTTCACTCCAATTCGGGATCACCTCTAGATCCTCATTGAGATATGCAACCTCCTGCTGCCAGTGAAGATGTGCTTTCGCAGTCGATGTCCTGGAATCCAAATGGAATGACGAGACAAATGTGCTGCCGTCAGCGAAGCAATATATTGGATTCTTGTTGTTTTCCAATATGTCGTTGATATACAATTGAGTTGGAGACAATATGGATCTCTGAGGTCGACCAGCGTAGATGGTAAAGGTATTCGAGATATATCTATTGACGACTACTTGCAGGAAATGTTTTTTCAGAAAGCTGGAGAGCCATATACAAAAATTATCCGACAAGACATAGCATCGAAGTTTGGCCAGCAAGCCCTCATGCCATCTACGGTCAAAGGCCTTAAACATATCCAGCGCAATAGCTCTTGACTCTTCATGTTTCTCGACTGAGTTATTCCAAATAGGTGTAACATACGATATAAGCACTGACATCTGTCGGATATAATCCAACGCACTTCGTGGTATTAGCCAAGATGTGTCAGTCCATTAACCCAAAGTGCCTGAACGAATTGTTCCTTTAGATGATTTGAAAAAAAAAGTTCCTTAACTCCATTGTAGCATCACTGATATAACCTAATCCCATTATTTGCAATAATCTTCGATGAGAAAATTTTATTTTCAATAGTTTTCAAGAGATCTGACAAAATGTGCATTTCCTCTTCGACAACATCTCATATAAAAATTAAAGAGTTTCGAACAAATGCCCATAAAAACTTTCCAAGAAATCGCCCTCCAAATCAGTAAAAAAAATGGAGAAACCCTTTTATTTGATGTGACATGATGTGACATGAATTTCATTAGTTCGGACTTCTATTAAACTACAAAAGATCGGACCGAACAGAAATTTCGGAACAAGTGGAGGAGCAAATATTGAATATGTGCACGGACCACATGACACCGAAGTACACCTTTAACAGAAACTTCATGGCCAAAATCATAAGTCATGAAAAGTGGAAGATCATTAGTCATCCCGAAAATATGTTTGGAAAAAACATCTGGTATACAGATGGATCGAACACCAACCATGGAACGGTAGCTGCAATATACCGAGCGGATAGAAATCTAAACTACAGCTATCCGCTAGGATTATACTCATCCGTCTTTCAGGCGGAAGTGTATGCTATCTTGCAGTGTGCAAGGCTTATTTTATTGAGACCTCGAAGAAATGAGCAGATCAATATTTTTACAGATAGCAAGAGCGCACTAGGGTCTCTGACAAACCCGAAGGTGACATCAAAACTGGTCTGTGAATGCCATGAAGAACTGAATGAACAGGCAATATTACGCCCAGAAGAATATGACGAACATCCAACACGGAACCTGTACAAACTAGTACAGGGAACGAGACTGATGGAATTGGTGTCATGAGAAGATGGGAGAATAAACGCAATAATTCCAAGAGACTGCAG